TCTTTTTTCGTCTCTTTTCTCCCCTCTCTGTTTTTCTTCTCCCTCTGTTTGTCTTCTCTCTCTCTTGTGTGTTTTTTGTCTCTCTTTTCCCTCTCTCTCCCTCCCCATCCCTCCCCTCCCTCCCTCCTCACTCCCCTCCCTCCTCTCCCCCTCCCCTCCCTCCCTTCCCTCTCTAGGGAGGGGAGGAGAGACCATCGTTCTTTCAGATCTCCATCTTGATCTCTGACGCTCTGGAAGGGGACAGCTCCTCCTCAGCCTGAACCGACCAATCAAATCCTCTCCTCTGCCTGAACCGACCAATCAGATCGCAAACCACCAATCGGATCTACTCAGATCTCCTCAGATCTACTCTTGATGGAGGACTGCTTGAAATAAGGATCCAAACATTCCACACCACTCTCTGTACTGATGTATCTGTCAAGATGGACGATCACAATGGATTTTGTTAGACAGAAAGCTCACGTCCAGATACCATTTCCTGTTTCACCTCTTCTATCCTGTCTGACAGGAAACTGGACTGTAGATGTTTTCTCCCTCTTCATTCTCCAGTTGTTTGTATTTTAACTGAACTTATTCCATCCCTTTGCAACAGCTAGTCCTGTTACTGTATAGAGCAGTAGGTCCATTCATTCATCTTCTCCTATTTCAATACTCGATCACGTCCTCAATCCAGCTCACTTGTATATTTATAAGGTAAATGTATATTTATAAGGTAAATGTATGTTTTTAATAATAATGCAGCAGCTTGAATGTAATTACAACAGCATGAATGACAATACTATTCTCCTATACGATTGTATTCTCTTCCATCAACTCAGAAAACTCTGTCCAACAGCCAAGATAGGTGTTCCTGACTCCAGATAGTTTTTTGTTTGTTTTTAATCTATGTTTTAAGTGAGAAGTAGGCATTGGTCTGAAGCTGAAAAAGAAAGGAGATTCACATGACCACCCCAATGCCTCCTCCACCCATGCTCCACCAAGGTTCACCCCAATGCCTCCTCCACCCATGCTCCACCAAGGTTCACCCCAATGCCTCCTCCACCCATGCTCCACCAAGGTACACCCCAATGCCTCCTCCACCCATGCTCCACCAAGGTTCACCCCAATGCCTCCTCCACCCATGCTCCACCAAGGTTCTCCAGCACACTGCCTTGACCTACTACAGTAGCTATGTTGGTCCTATTGTACTTCAATGTGTAGGCAGATTGCTTAGGGTTCAAACCTTCTCAAATATTTGTATTATTAGTAGTAGTATTGCTATATTGCAGTAATGACCAACAAAGGCTAGTGCCTATCATACCCAACAAATGACAGCAATAGGCTAATGTTATTTATTTTACAACAGACCTACTTATAACCTTATTATCTTAAACTAAATATGGAGCACACAAATAAAAAGACAGATCAAATGTAATTTAGCCAATGAAAATGTCTCAACAGAATTAAAGAAAACAGGTTTTGCATATTTAAAGAACTGGTTTTGATTAATAAATATGCTTAAATATAATAACAATGATATACAATAATAATGATAAAACAAATTATTATAAATAAATGTAAGTCCTACCTGAGTAGGGACTGGCCACTATCATCTTAGTCCACTACAATATTACAACTTATATTAAATTCCCCTTGTAGGCTTTTCACTGCAGGCATAGTCTATCTTTAGTTTTACTTCAATGAAAACGGCCTCCATCTTCACAATCAGCAGTGGCCAAGGCTCCTCCCTCTCTCTCTCTCTCCTCAGCAGCAGGCACACGTGTGTGCAAGGCGTGAGAGAATGGTGCTGAAGAGGGAATTCAGGGTGTAGACTATGATAGACAGCCTCTCCTGGGGTGTAGACTATATAGACACCTCTCCCTGGGGTGTAGACTATATAGACAGTCTCTCCTGGGGTGTAGACTATATAGACAGTCTCTCCTGGGGTGTAGACTATATAGACAGTCTCTCCTGGGGTGTAGACTATATAGACAGCCTCTCCTGGGGTCTCCTGGGGTGTAGACTATATAGACAGCCTCTCCTGGGGTGTAGACTATATAGACAGTCTCTCCTGGGGTGTAGACTATATAGACAGCTCTCCTGGGGGTGTAGACTATAGACAGCCTCTCCTGGGGTGTAGACTAATAGGACAGTCTCTCTGGGGTGGTAGGACTATATAGACAGCCTCTCCTGGGGGTGTAGACTAATAGACAGCCTCTCCTGGGGTGTTTAACTATATAGACAGCCTCCCCGGGGTCTCCGGGGGTTTGTAGACTATATAGACAGCCTCTCCTGGGGTGTGGGACTATATGGGACAGCCTCTCCTGGGGTCTCCTGGGGGTTAGATATATAGACAGCTCTCCTGGGGTGTAGACTATATAGACAGTCTCTCCTGGGGTGTAGACATATGGGACAGTTTTCCCTGGGTCTCCTGGGGGTGAAGACATATAGACAGCCCTCTCCTGGGGGGTAGACTATATAGACAGCCTCTCCTGGGGTGTAGACTATATAGAACATCCTTCCTGGGGTGTAGACTATATAGACAGCTCTCCTGGGGGGACTTAAGACAGCTTCTCCTGGGGTGGACTTTTAGACAGTCCCCGGGTTTTGGGGTGTAGACTATATAGACAGTCTCTTCCTGGGGTGTAGACTATATAGACAGTCTCTCCTGGGGTGTAGACTATATAGACAGTCTCTCCTGGGGTGTAGACTATATAGACAGTCTCTCCTGGGGTGTAGACTATATAGACAGTCTCTCCTGGGGTCTCCTGGGGTGTAGACTATATAGACAGTCTTTTCGGGGTGTAGACTATATAGACAGTCTTCCTGGGGTGTGTAACTATATAGACAGTCTCTCCTGGGGCTCGGGTGTAGACATATAGACAGCCTCCCTGGGGTGTAGACTATAAAAGACAGCTCTCCTGGGGTGGGTGGACTATATGGGAAAAGCCTCTCCTGGGGTCTCTGGGGTGAACTATATAGACAGCCTCTCCTGGGTGTAGACTATATAGACAGCTCTCCTGGGGTGTAGACTATATAGACAGCCCTCCCCTGGGGTGTAGACTATATAGACAGTCTCTCCTGGGGTTAGACTATATAGACAGCCTCTCCTGGGGTGTAGACTATATAGACAGTCTCTCCTGGGGTTTCCTGGGGTGTAGACTATATAGACAGTCTCTCCTGGGGTGTAGACTATATAGACAGTCTCTCCTGGGTCTCTGGGGTGTAGACTATATAGACAGTCTCTCCTGGGGTCTCCTGGGGTGTAGACTATATAGACAGTCTCTCCTGGGGTGTAGGACTATAAGACAGTTTCCTGGGTGTAGAGACTATAAGACAGTCTCTCCTGGGGTGTAGACTATATAGACAGTCCTCTCCTGGGGTGTAGACTATATAGACAGTCTTCCTGGGGTTGTAGACATTTTAGACAGTCTCTCTGGGGTGTAGACTATATAGACAGTCTCTCCTGGGGTGTAGACTATATAGACAGTCTCTCCGGGGTGTGTAGACTATTAGACAGTCTCTCCTGGGGTCTCCTGGGTTAGACATATGACAGTCTCTCCTGGGGTTAGCTATATAGACTCTTCTGGGTGTAGACTATATAGACAGCCCCTTCCGGGGGTTTGTAGACTATATAGAAAACCTCTCCTGGGGTAGACTATAAGACGCCTTTCCGGGTGTAGACTATATGGGAAAAGTCTCTCCTGGGGTGTAGACTATGAAAGACAGCCTCTCCTGGGGTGTAGACTATATAGCAGCCTCTCCTGGGGTGTAAAATATATAGACAGCCTCTCCTGGGGTGTAGACATATAGACAGCCTCTCCTGGGGGGTGTAGACTATGAAAGACGGGCCTCTCCTGGGGTGTAGACTATATGACAGCCTCTCCTGGGGTTGTAGACTATGAAAGACAGCCTCTCCTGGGGTGTAGCTATATAGACACCCTCCTGGGGTGTAGACTATATAGACAGCCTCCCCTGGGGTGTAGACTATATAGACAGTCTCTCTGGGGTAGACTATATAGACAGTCTCTCCTGGGGTGTAGATTTGGATGAAGCTTCCCCGGGGTGTAGACTATATAGACAGCCCTTTCCTGGGGTGTAGACTATATAGACGTTTCTCATGGGTTAGACTATATAGACAGTCTCTTCCTGGGGTGTAAGACTATATAGACAGTCTCTCCTGGGGTGTAGACATATAGACAGTCCCTGGGGTCTCCGGGGGTTTGTAGGACTAAAATGGGACAGCCTCCTGGGGTGTAGCTATATAGACAGTCTCTCCGGGGGTGTAGACTATATAGACAGTTTTCCTGGGGTCTCTGGGGTGTAGACTATATAGACAGTCTCTCCTGGGGTTCGGGGTTAGACTATATAGACAGCCTCCCCTGGGGTCTCCTGGGGTGTAGACATATAGACAGTTTTCTCCTGGGGTGTAGACTATTGGGAAGTTTTCCTGGGGGTAGACTATATGGGACAGCCTCTCCTGGGGGGACTAATAGACAGTTCTCCTGGGGTGTAGACTATATAGACAGTCTCTCCTGGGGTGTAGGACTATATAGACAGTCTCTCCTGGGGTGTAGACTATATAGACAGTCTCTCCTGGGGTGTGTAGACTATATAGACAGCCTCTCCTGGGTCCCTGGGGTGTAGACTATAAGACAGCCTCTCCTGGGGTTCGGGGTGTAGACTATATAGACAGCCTCTCCTGGGGTGTAGACATATAGACAGTCTCTCCTGGGGTGTAGACTATTAGACAGTCTTCCTGGGTGTAGACTTATAGACAGCCTCTCCTGGGGTGTAGACTATATAGACAGTCTCTCCTGGGGTGTAGACTATGATAGACAGCCTCTCCTGGGGTGTAGACTATATAGACGGGCCTCTCCTGGGGTGTAAGACTATATAGGCCCAGCCCTCCTGGGGTGTTAGACTATATAGACAGTCTCTCCGGGGGTTTAGACTATATAGAAGCCTCTCCTGGGTGTAGACTATATAGACAGCCTTCCTGGGGGTTCCTGGGTGTAGACTATATAGACAGCTCTCCTGGGGTTGTAGACTATATAGACAGCTCTCCGGGGGGTGTAGACTATATAGACAGTCTCTCCTGGGGTTCCTGGTGTAGACTATATAGACAGTCCTGGGTGTAGACTATATAGACAGCCTCTCCTGGGGTGTAAAACTATATAGACAGCCTCTCCTGGGGTGTAGACTAATAGGACAGTCTCTCCTGGGGTGTAGACTATATAGACAGCCTCTCCTGGGGGTAGACTATTAGACAGCCTCTCCTGGGGTGTAGACTATATAGACAGTCTCTCCTGGGGTGGTAACTATATAGACAGGCCTCTCCTGGGGTGTAGACTATATAGACAGTCTCTCCTGGGGTGTAGACTAATAGACGCTCTCGGGGGTGTAGACTATATAGACAGCCTCTCCTGGGGTGTAGACTATAAGACAGCCTCCCCTGGGGTGTAGCTTATAGACAGCCTCTCGGGTGTAGACTATATAGACAGCTCTCCTGGGGTGTAGACTATATAGACAGTCTTCCGGGGGTTTCTCCTGGGGTGTAGACTATATAGACAGTCTCTCCTGGGGTGTAGACTATATAGACAGTCTCTCCTGGGGTGTAGACTATATAGACAGCCTCTCCTGGGGTGTAGACTATATAGACAGTCTCTCCTGGGGTGTAGACTATATAGACAGCCTCTCCTGGGGTGTAGACTATATAGACAGCCTCTCCTGGGGTGTAGACTATATAGACAGTCTCTCCTGGGGTGTAGACAAATTAGGACAGTCTCTCCTGGGGTGTAGACTTTTATAGAAAACCTCTCCTGGGGTGTTGTAGACTATATAGACAGTCTCTCCTGGGGTGTAGACTATATAGACAGCCTCCTGGGGTGTTAGACTATATAGACAGTCTCTCCTGGGGTGTAGACTATATAGACAGCCTCCCTGGGGTCTCCTGGGGGTAGACTATGATAGACAGTCTCTCCTGGGGTGTAGACTATATAGACAGCCTCTCCTGGGGTCTCCTGGGGTGTAGACTATGATAGACAGTCTCTCCTGGGGTGTAGACTATATAGACAGCCTCTCCTGGGGTCTCCTGGGGTGTAGACTATATAGACAGCCTCTCCTGGGGTGTGGGACTATATAGACAGTCTCTCCTGGGGTTTGTAGACTATATAGACAGCCTCTCCGGGGGTGTAGATATATAGACAGTCTTCCTGGGTGTAGACTATATAGACAGTCTCTCCTGGGGTGTAGACTATATAGACAGGGCCTTTCCCTGGGGTGTAGACTATATAGACATTTCTCTCCTGGGGTGTAGACTATATAGACAGTCTCTCCTGGGGTGTAGACTATATAGACAGCCTCTCCTGGGGTGTAGACTATATAGACAGCCTCTCCTGGGGTGTAGACTATATAGACAGTCCTCTCCTGGGGTGTAGACTATATAGACAGTCTCCTGGGGTGTAGACTATATAGACAGCCTCTCTGGGGTGTAGACTATATAGACAGTCTCTCCTGGGGTGTAGACTATATAGACAGTCTCTCCTGGGGTGTAGACTATATAGACAGCCTCTCCTGGGGTGTAGACTATATAGACAGCCTCTCCTGGGGTCTCCTGGGGTGTAGACTGATGATTGACTTTTGAAATAGCCTAATCAGATTAAAACATTGTGAATGATTGTGTTAATGACACATATAAAAGGTAATAGATTTAAAAAGTGAAATGATAAATATTTAGGATATGTGGTACGTGATCCTAGTCCGGTCCGGCACGTGCCCGTTCCACCGGTGCCTGTCAGCAGCTCCACTCCGGAGCCAGAGCAGTCCGCTCCACTGGTGCCTAGTCCAGCTCCGGTCAGCGGCTCCAGTCCAGACCCAGACAATAGTCCCTCTCCAGGTTCGGGGTCTCCCACACCAGGGTCCAGACAGGGCTTGGTGCATCGTGGGAGGAAGGAGAGGGGAAGCAGTGCGCCGAGGTCCAGACCAGACCAGGGGCGCAACGGGGAGGCGGAGAGATAAACATGTACGCATTTCACGCTGCGCCTTGGTCTGACCCGTCCTTCAACGAGCGTGACAAGGGAGGATCGTTGTATTGTGGTGTTGTAGGCTACTATAGTCTAGGGAGGATCATTGGATTGTCCCTAAACAAGATCAATAGGGGAGCTTTTTGAGCTGCGTGTCTCATGTCTTCACTGTTCTTTCATGACTCACCTGGCCTGTCCGCTGCCTATCACCTGGCCTGTCCGCTGCCTATCACCTGGCCTGTCCACTGCCTATCACCTGGCCTGTCCGCTGCCTATCACCTGACCTCCCCGCTGCCTATCACCTGGCCTGTCCGCTGCCTATCACCTGGCCTGTCCGCTGCCTATCACCTGGCCTGTCCGCTGCCTATCACCTGGCCTGTCCGCTGCCCTATCACCTGGCCTGTCCGCTGCCTATCACCTGACCTCTCCGCTGCCTATCACCTGGCCTGTCCGCTGCCTATCACCTGGCCTCCCCGCTGCCTATCACCTGGCCTGTCCGCTGCCTATCACCTGGCCTCCCCGCTGCCTATCACCTGACCTCCCCGCTGCCTATCACCTGGCCTGTCCGCTGCCTATCACCTGGCCTGTCCGCTGCCTATCACCTGGCCTGTCCGCTGCCTATCACCTGGCCTGTCCGCTGCCTATCACCTGGCCTGTCCGCTGCCTATCACCTGGCCTGTCCGCTGCCTATCACCTGGCCTGTCCGCTGCCTATCACCTGGCCTGTCCGCTGCCTATCACCTGGCACTGTCCTCTGCCTATCACCTGGCCTGTCCGCTGCCTATCACCTGGCCTGTCCGCTGCCTATCACCTGGCCTGTCCTCTGCCTATCACCTGGCCTGTCCGCTGCCTATCACCTGGCCTGTCCGCTGCCTATCACCTGACCTGTCCGCTGCCTATCACCTGGCCTGTCCGCTGCCTATCACCTGGCCTGTCCGCTGCCTATCACCTGACCTCTCCGCTGCCTATCACCTGGCCTCCCCGCTGCCTATCACCTGACCTCCCCGCTGCCTATCACCTGGCCTGTCCGCTGCCTATCAGCTATTCCTATTTCTTCTTGTGGATTCATATCAAAAATTGATGCAGCTTTTAATGATTTTATGTGTGGTATGATTGCTAGTTAGCCTATTGCAGATCTGGACAAATGATCCACCTACCACTATTGTAGCTCAGTTGGTAGAGCATGGTGCTTGCAACGCCAGGGTTGTGGGTTCGATTCCCACGGGGGGCCAGTATGAAAAATGTATGCACTCACTAACTGTAAGTCGCTCTGGATAAGAGCGTCTGCTAAATGACTAAAATGGAAAAAATTGTCACTATGAATGGTGGATAGAGGGCAGGATAGACAGACTGGTAGACTATATTATCACTATGAATGGTGGATAGAGGACAGGGTAGACAGACTGGTAGACTATATTATCACTATGAATGGTGGATAGAGGGCAGGGTAGACAGACTGGTAGACTATATTATCACTATGAATGGTGGATAGAGGGCAGGGTAGACAGATGGTAGACTATATTATCACTATGAATGGTGGATAGAGGGCAGGGTAGACAGTTAGACTGGTAGACTATATTATCACTATGAATGGTGGATAGAGGGCAGGGTAGACAGACTGGTAGACTATATTATCACTATGAATGGTGGATAGAGGGCAGGGTAGACAGACTGGTAGACTATATTATCACTATGAATGGTGGATAGAGGACAGGGTAGACAGTTAGACTGGTAGACTATATTATCACTATGAATGGTGGATAGAGGGCAGGGTAGACAGACTGGTAGACTATATTATCACTATGAATGGTGGATAGAGGGCAGGGTAGACAGTTAGACTGGTAGACTATATTATCACTATGAATGGTGGATAGAGGACAGGGTAGACAGACTGGTAGACTATATTATCACTATGAATGGTGGATAGAGGGCAGGGTAGACAGTTAGACTGGTAGACTATATTATCACTATGAATGGTGGATAGAGGGCAGGATAGACAGTTAGACTGGTAGACTATATTATCACTATGAATGGTGGATAGAGGGCAGGGTAGACAGACTGGTAGACTATATTATCACTATGAATGGTGGATAGAGGGCAGGATAGACAGTTAGACTGGTAGACTATATTATCACTATGAATGGTGGATAGAGGACAGGGTAGACAGTTAGACTGGTAGACTATATTATCACTATGAATGGTGGATAGAGGGCAGGATAGACAGTTAGACTGGTAGACTATATTATCACTATGAATGGTGGATAGAGGGACAGGATAGACAGACTGGTAGACTATATTATCACTATGAATGGTGGATAGAGGGCAGGATAGACAGACTGGTAGACTATATTATCACTATGAATGGTGGATAGAGGGCAGGATAGACAGTTAGACTGGTAGACTATATTATCACTATGAATGGTGGATAGAGGGCAGGATAGACAGACTGGTAGACTATATTATCACTATGAATGGTGGATAGAGGGCAGGATAGACAGTTAGACTGGTAGACTATATTATCACTATGAATGGTGGATAGAGGGCAGGATAGACAGACTGGTAGACTATATTATCACTATGAATGGTGGATAGAGGGCAGGGTAGACAGACTGGTAGACTATATTATCACTATGAATGGTGGATAGAGGGCAGGGTAGACAGACTGGTAGACTATATTATCACTATGAATGGTGGATAGAGGACAGGGTAGACAGACTGGTAGACTATATTATCACTATGAATGGTGGATAGAGGACAGGGTAGACAGACTGGTAGACTATATTATCACTATGAATGGTGGATAGAGGGCAGGGTAGACAGTTAGACTGGTAGACTATATTATCACTATGAATGGTGGATAGAGGACAGGGTAGACAGTTAGACTGGTAGACTATATTATCACTATGAATGGTGGATAGAGGGCAGGATAGACAGACTGGTAGACTATATTATCACTATGAATGGTGGATAGAGGGCAGGGTAGACAGTTAGACTGGTAGACTATATTATCACTATGAATGGTGGATAGAGGGACAGGATAGACAGTTAGACTGGTAGACTATATTATCACTATGAATGGTGGATAGAGGACAGGATAGACAGACTGGTAGACTATATTATCACTATGAATGGTGGATAGAGGGCAGGGTAGACAGACTGGTAGACTATATTGTCACATCTAATTCTCTAGCCTTTACTTGTAACTTTGTAGGCTATATGTTCTGCACCAGAATCACATGTTCTCTCCCTGCTTTATCATGGTTTGAACGATGTGCGTAATACAGTACAGGAATACAGTATAATACAATACAGTACAGGAATACAGTATAATACAATACAGTACAGGAATACAGTATAATACAATACAGTACAAGAATACAGTATAATACAGTACAGTACAGGAATACAGTATAATACAATACAGTACAGGAATACAGTATAATATAATACAGTACAGGAATACAGTATAATACAATACAGTACAGGAATACAGTATAATACAATACAGTACAGGAATACAGTATAATATAATACAATACAGTACAGGAATACAGTATAATACAATACAGTACAGGAATACAGTATAATACAATACAGTACAGGAATACAGTATAATACAGTACAGGAATACAGTATAATATAATACAATACAGTACAGGAATACAGTATAATACAATACAGTACAGGAATACAGTTCACACTCAAACACATTAGCCTACTGGAGCTAGTTTCATTGATTTACCCAAGAGAGCATATAGCTAGCTACATCTATGGGCTTTATGTAGCTAGCTATATATATGGGCTTTATATAGCTAGCTACATCTATGGGCTTTATATAGCTAGCTACATCTATGGGCTTTATATAGCTAGCTACATCTACAGTGAGGGAAAAAAGTATTTGATCCCCTGCTGATTTTGTATGTTTGCCCACTGACAAAGACATGATCAGTCTATAATTTTAATGGTAGGTTTATTTGAACAGTGAGAGACAGAATAACAACAACAAAAATCCAGAAAAACGCATTTCAAAAATGTTATAAATTGATTTGCATTTTAATGAGGGAAATAAGTATTTGACCCCTCTGCAAAACATGACTTAGTACTTGGTGGCAAAACCCTTGTTGGCAATCACAAAGGTCAGATGTTTCTTGTAGTTGGCCACCAGGTTTGCACAAATCTCAGGAGGGATTTTGTCCCACTCCTCTTTGCAGATCTTCTCCAAGTCATTAAGATTCCGAGGCTGAAGTCTGGCTACTCGAACCTTCAGCTCCCTCCACAGATTTTCTATGGGATTAAGGTCTGGAGACTGGCTAGGCCACTCCAGGACCTTAATGTGCTTCTTCTTGAGCCACTCCTTTGTTGCCTTGGCGGTGTGTTTTGGGTCATTGTCATGCTGGAATACCCATCCACGACCCATTTTCAATGCCCTGGCTGAGGGAAGGAGGTTCTCACCCAAGATTTGACGGTACATGGCCCCGTCCATCATCCTATTGATGCGGTGAAGTTGTCCTGTCCCCTTAGCAGAAAAACACCCCCAAAGCATAATGTTTCCACCTCCATGTTTGGCGGTGGGGATGGTGTTCTTGGGGTCATAGGCAGCATTCCTCCTCCTCCAAACACGGCGAGTTGAGTTTGATGCCAAAGAGCTCGATTTTGGTCTCATCTGACCACAACACTTTCACCCAGTTCTCCTCTGAATCATTCAGATGTTCATTGGCAAACTTCAGACAACCCTGTATATGTGCTTTCTTGAGCAGGGGGACCTTGCGGGCGCTGCAGGATTTCAGTCCTTCACGGCGTAGTGTGTTACCAATTGTTTTCTTGGTGACTATGGTCCCAGCTGCCTTGAGATCATTGACAAGATCCTCCCGTGTAGTTCTGGGCTGATTCCTCACCGTTCTCATGATCATTGCAACTCCACGAGGTGAGATCTTGCATGGAGCCCCAGGCCGAGGGAGATTGACAGTTCTTTTGTGTTTCTCCCATTTGCGAATAATCACACCAACTGTTGTCACCTTCTCACCAAGCTGCTTGGCGATGGTCTTGTAGCCCATTCCAGCCTTGTGTAGGTCTACAATCTTGTCCCTGACATCCTTGGAGAGCTCTTTGGTCTTGACCATGGTGGAGAGTTTGGAATCTGATTGATTGATTGCTTCTGTGGACAGGTGTCTTTTATACAGGTAACAAACTGAGATTAGGAGCACTCCCTTTCAGAGTGGGCTCCTAATCTCAGCTCGTTACCTGTATAAAAGACACCTGGGAGCCAGAAATCTTTCTGATTGAGAAGGGGTCAAATACTTATTTCCCTCATTAAAATGCAAATCAATTTATAACATTTTTGACATGTGTTTTTCTGGATTTTTTTTGTTGTTATTCTGTCTCTCACTGTTCAAATAAACCTACCATTAAAATTATAGACTGATCATTTCTTTGTCAGTGGGCAAACGTACAAAATCAGCAGGGGATCAAATACTTTTTTCCCTCACTGTATGGGCTTTATATAGCTAGCTACATCTATGGGCTTTTTGTAAACTAGCTATATATATGGGCTTTATATAGCTTAGCTACATCTATGGGCTTTATAAGCTAGCTACTCTATGGGCTTTATATAGCTAGATACATCTATGGGGTTTATATAGCTAGCTACATCTATGGGCTTTATGTAGCTAGCTACATCTATGGGCTTATACACTAGCTACATCTATGGGCTATATTAGCTAGCTACCCCTATGGGCTGGTGTGGGATGTGATGGTGTTAGGATGTGATGGGTGTGATGTGATGGTGTGGATGTTGGTGTGTGATGTGATGGTGGGTGAGTGATGGGTAAGGAGTGATGGGTGGAGGGATGGTGTGGATGATGAGGTGGGGGTTTTGATGGTGTGGGAGGGTGATGTGGGTGTGAGGAGTGATGGTGTGATGTATGGTGTGGATGTGAGGGTGGATGTGATGGTGTAGATGTGATGGGTGGGGTTTTGGTTGGGATGTGAGGTGGTATGTGATGGGGGGGGTGATGTGTGGTGTGTGGGTTGTGATTGTGTAGGATGGGATGGTGTTGGATGTGATGGGTGGCCGGGTGATGGTGTGGATGTGTGGGATGTGATGGTGTGGATGTGATGGTGGGATGGAGGGAGTGGGATGTGATGTGTGGGATGTGGGGTTTGTTGGGAGGTGTGGTGGGGTGGGTGTGTGGGGTGGTTTTGTGTGGTGTGATGGTGTGGATGTGATGGTGTGGGATGTGAGGGTGGGGGTGTGATGGTGGGATGTGATGTTGGGAGTGATGGGGGGTGTGATGGTGTGGGATGTATGGTGTGGGATGTGATGGTGGGGGTGTGTGTGGGTGGGGTTTTGGGATGTGTGTGTGGATTGATGGTGGGGGAGGTGATGGAGTGGGATGTGATGGTTGTAGGATGTGATGTGTGGGTGGATTGTGATGGTGTGGGATGTGATGGTTGGGATGTGATGGTGTGGGATGTGATGGTGTGGGATGTGATGGTGTGGGATGTGATGGTTGGGATGTGATGGTTGGGATGTGATGGTTGGGATGTGATGGTGTGGGATGTGATGGTGTGGGATGTGATGGTGTGGGATGTGATGGTGTGTGATTGTCAGTGCTGAGGAACCCAGTATGTGTTATACTGTATCTCTTCACTCCGAGCTGGTTCTCTCCATGTCCTTCAACAACGACAGCAGCTGTCTAGCTACCACCAGCCTGGACAGGAAGATCAGAGTCACGGACCCACGCCCTGGACGCCTCATACAGCTCTGTCTGTGTAGGTGTGGGGGGCTGGTAAAAGTTCCGGTAAATTACCAAAGTTCTGGGAATTTTCAGAAAATCCGGTTATTAACTGGTATTTAACTTACACATGTTTTCTTATTCTTTCTACGTGTCCATGTCCTTGAACGTCTAGTAGATAGATAGAAAGAAGGTTCCGGAGAAAATGCTTAATTAATGACTAAAACATCTAATCAAGAATGATCACAGAGTATGAAAGTGGGCCTAGCCACTGTCTGCCATTACTCCTGTGTATGTGTGTGTGATCAATCACTAATCGATACTTGTCAGTCCCTAATCAATACTTATCAATCACAAATCAATACTCAATCACTCTTCTATGACCCCGACACACACATGCTCTACCTGGCTGGCAAGGTAACCACTACCAATTACCAATTGCTGTATCAATCACTAATCAATCAGCTCATCAATAACTAATCTGTGTGTGTTTCAGGGTGATAGTAACATCAGGTATTATGAGATCTCACAAGCCCTGAGATCAGGTTAGCAGCAGGTCCTGGATCTGTGATGAAGATCAGGTTAGCAGCAGGTCCTGGATCTGTGATGAAGATCAGGTTAGCAGCAGGTCCTGGATCTGTGATGAAGATCAGGTTAGCAGCAGGTCCTGGATCTGTGATGAAGATCAGGTTAGCAGCAGGTCCTGGATCTGTGATGAAGATCAGGTTAACAGCAGGTCCTGGATCTGTGATGAAGATCAGGTTAACAGCAGGTCCTGGATCTGTGATGAAGATCAGGTTAGCAGCAGGTCCTGGATCTGTGATGAGCGTGAAAGAAGGAGTCAGGCGCAGGAGGGTAAATCACAGAATACAGAGTTTATTCCGTCGTACACAGGGGAATAATCTACCCCGGCAATACAAGGTACGAGTAGCTCCACCGAGCTACACTACTCTCACAATAAACAATCCCCCACAAGGACAAGGGGGGCAGAGGGAACACTTATACACGTACTAATGAGGGGATATGAACCAGGTGTGTGTAATTGACAAGACAAGACAAATGGAATGATGAGATATGGAGCGGCAGTGGCTAGAAGGCCGGTGACGACGAACGCCGAAGCCTGCCCGAACAAGGAGGGGAAGCAGCTTCGGAGGAAGTAGTGACACCTACGTTCCGTTCCTCACTGAGAACTGCTCCCTACTGCCTCAGAAAGGACTGGGTAGAACATACAATACCGTTCAAAAGTTTGGGGTCACTTAGAAATGTCCTTGTTGTCGAAAGAAAAGCAATTTTTTTGTCCATTAAAATAACATCAAATTGATCAGAAATACAGTGTAGCCATTGTTAATGTTGTAAATGGCTATTGTAGCTGGAAACGGCTGATTTTTAATGGAATATCTACATAGGCGTACATAGGCCCAATATCAGCAACCACCAGTCCTGTGTTCCAATGGCACGTTGTTTTTGCTAATCCAAGTTTATAATTTTAAAAGGCTAATTGATCATTAGAAAACCCTTTTGCAATTATGTTAGCATAGCTAAAAACTGTTGTGCTGATTAAAGAAGCAATAAAACTGGCCTTCTTGAGACTAGTTGAGTATCTGGAGCATCAGCAATTGTGGGTTCGATTACAGGATCAAAATGGCCAGAAACAAAGAACTTTCTTCTGAAACTCGTCAGTCTATTCTTGTTCTGAGAAATGAAGGCTATTCCATGCGAGAAATTGCCAAGAAACTGAAGATCTCGTACAACGCTGTGTACTACTCCCTTCACAGAACAGCGCAAACTGGCTCTAACCAGAATAGAAAAAGGAGTGTCTAGTTTGAGAAACAGACACCTCACAGGTCCTCAACTGGCAGCTTCATTAAATAGTACCCGCAAAACAGCAGTCTCAACATCAACAGTGAAGAGGCGACTCCGGGATGCTTACCTTCTAGGCAGAGTTGCAAAGAAAAAGCCATATCTCAGACTGGCCAATAAAAAGAAAATATTAAGATGGACAAAAGAACACAGACACTGGACAGAGGAAGATTGGAAAAAAGTGTTATGGACAGACGAATCGAAGTTTCAGGTGTTCGGATCACAAAGAAGAACATTTGTGAGATGCAGACCAAATGAAAAGATGCTGGAGGAGTGCTTGATGCCATCTGTATAGCATGGTGGAGGCAATGTGATGGTCTGGGGTGCTTTGGTGGTGGTAAAGTGGGAGATTTGTACAGGGTAAAAGGGATCTTGAAGAAGGAAGGCTATCACTCCATTTTGCAACGCCATGCCATACCCTGTGGACAATGCAAATAGTCCGGGTAGCCATGATTAGCAGTTCAGGAGTCTTATGGCTTGGGGGTAGAAGCTGTTGAGTAGCCTTTTGGACCTAGACTTGGCGCTCCAGTACCGCTTGCCGTGCGGTAGCAGAGAGAACAGTCTAGGGTGGCTTGAGTCTTTGACTATTTTTAGGGCCTTCCTCTGACACCGCCTGGTATAGAGGTCCTGGATGGCAGGAAGCTTGACCCCAGTGATGTACTGGGCCGTACGCACTACTCTACCGGTCGGTAGTCATTTAGGCAGGTTATCTTAGTGTCCTTGGGCACAGGGACTATGGTGGTCTGCTTGAAACATGTTGGTATTACAGACTCAGTCAGGGACATGTTGAAAATGTCAGTGAAGACACTTGCCAGTTGGTCAGCGCATGCTCGGGTGTACACGTCCTGGTAATCCGTCTGGCCCTGCGGCCTTGTGAATGTTGACCTGCTTAAAAGTCTTACTCACATCGGCTACGGAGAGCGTGATCACATAGTCATCCGGAACAGCTGATGCTCTCATGCATGCTTCAGTGTTGCTTGCCTCGAAGCGAGCATAGAAGTGATTTAGCTCATCTGGTAGGCTTGTGTCACTGGGCAGTTCGCGGCTGTGCTTCCCTTTGTAGTCTGTAATAGTTTTCAAGCCCTGCCACATCCGACGAGCGTCAGAGCCGGTGTAGTACGATTCAATCTTAGTCCTGTATTGACTCTTTGCCTGTTTGATGGTTCGTCAGAGGGCATAGCGGGATTTCTTATAAGCTTCCGGGTTAGAGTCCCGCTCCTTGAAAGCGGTAGCTCTACCCTTTAGCTCAGTGCGGATGTTGCCTGTAATCCAGGGCTTCTGGTTGGGGTATGTACATACAGTCACTGTGGGGACGACATCATCGATGCACTTATTGATGAAGCCAGTGACTGATGTGGTGTACTCCTCAATGCTATCTGAAGAATCCCGGGAACATATTCCAGTCTGTGCTAGCAAAACAGTCCTGTAGCTTAGCATCTGCGTCATCTGACCACTTTTTTATTAACTGAGTCACTGGTGCTTCCTGCTTTAGTTTTTGCTTATAAGCAGTAATCAGGACGATAGAGTTATGGTCAGATTTGCCAAATGGAGGGTGAGGGAGAGCTTTGTATGCGTCTCTGTGTGTGGAGTAAAGGTGGTCTAGAGTATTTTTTCCTCTGGTTGCACATTTAACATGCTGATAGAAATGAGGCAGAACGGATTTAAGTTTCCCTGCATTAAAGTCCCCGGCCACTAGGGCGCTGCCTCTGGATGAGCGTTTTCCTGTCTGCTTATGGCCTTATACAGCTCATTGAGTGCAATCTTAGTGCCAGCATCGGTTTGTGGTGGTAAATAGACAGCTATGAAAAATATAGATGAAAACTCTCTTGGTAAATAGTGTGGTCTACAGCTTATCATAAGATAATCTACCTCAGGCGAGCAAAACCTCGAGACTTCCTTAGTATTAGATTTTATGCACCAGCTGTTGTTTACAAATATACACAGACCGCCACCCCTTGTCTTACCGGAGTCAGCCGTTCTATCCTGACGATGTAGCGTATATCCAGCCAGCTGTATGTTATCCATGTTGTCGTTCAGCCACGACTCGGTGAAACATAAGATATTACAGTTTTTAATGTCCCGTTGGTAGGATAACCGTAATCGTAGGTCATCCAATTTGTTCTCCAATGATTGAAGATTGGCTAATAGGATTGATGGAAGAGGCAGTTTACTCGCTCGCCGTCGGATCCTTACAAGTCACCCCGACCTACGTCCACGATATCTCCGTCTCTTTCTCATGCGAATGACGGGGATTTGGGCCTTGTCGGGTGTCTGTAAAATATCCTTCGCGTCCGACTCGTTGAAGAAAAAATCTTCGTCCAATACGAGGTAGGATATAGGCTTAGATAAATGCACACATTCATTTCAGTACTCCAGCTCAATATAATTTATTGTTGCAGAACTAAGAAAAATAGCTGTGTTCTGTTCATACAGTGGGAGAAAAAAGTATTTAGTCAGCCACCAATTGTGCAAGTTCTCCCACTTAAAAAGATGAGAGAGGCCTGTAATTTTCATCATAGGTACACGTCAACTATGACAGACAAATTGAGAAAAAAAATCCAGAAAATCACATTGTAGGATTTTTTATTAATTTATTTGCAAATTATGGTGGAAAATAAGTATTTGGTCAATAACAAAAGTTTCTCAGTACTTTGTTATATACCCTTTGTTGGCAATGACACAGGTCAAACGTTTTCTGTAAGTCTTCACAAGGTTTTCACACACTGTTGCTGGTATTATGATTTTTTACGCGCTACAGCACTCGCAGTCCCGTTCTGTGAGCTTGTGTGGCCTACCACTTCGCGGCTGAGCCGTTGTTGCTCCTAGACATTTCCACTTCCCAATAACAGCACTTACAGTTGACCGGGGCAGCTCTAGCAGGGCAGAAATTTTACAAACTTAGGACGGTGCCACGTTGAAAGTCATGGAGCCCTTCAGTAAGGCCATTATACTGGCAGTGTTTGTCTATGGAGATTGCATGGCGGTGTGCTCAATTTTATACACCCGTCAGCAACGGGTGTGGTTGTAATAGCAGAATCCACTAATTTGATGGCGTGTCCACATACTGCTGTATATAAAGTGGAACCTGGAACAGCTGAGGGTCTAGAGGAGACGTTTTAATGTCTGCATTCCCCCAAGGAAGAAAAACTAGTACAGGAGCCTGCCAACACAGAAAACGGTTATCAGAGACTCTAGAAACCCATCGTCTTACGTCAGACAGCACAACTTTTTCTAGTTCACGGCAAAGCGGGCACGTTATTAATGGCGCCCTCCGTCGATAGACGACGTTATAAAACACACAAAACAAATCGAAATGACACACAAGAGAGCGAGCAAGGAGCAAAATGTTAAGATTTTATTTACAAAAGTTCATTTTTGTACGTTTTGTCTTTTAACTTGCAGAAAGTAAAAACAGAGCCGCAAGTAGGAGGCTTGGATCCCCAATGGCTCCCTACGTAGTGCACTCCTTTTGACCAGGGCCCATAGAGTAGTGCACTATGTAGGGGATAGGGTGTGTCTACTAGCTCCGGTCCAACCCTTACCCAAAACACAGCTGGAGGGAGGAGACAGAACTAACAAAATACAAAAACAAACAAAACAAAAAAAATCCTCTGAAAAAATATTTTAAAAGCTCTGGCGGTAGAAAGAAAAACTCTGGTCCCACATAGCACCCTATTCCCTATATAGTGCACTAAAGAGACCTATACGGGCCCTGGCCAAAAGTAGTGCGTACACTATATAGGGAACAGGATACCATTTGGGACGCGGTCACTGTTGGGGAGTTGTCCCCTTGTTGGGAAAGCTGGGCGGTTTGTTGGTCGTCTGGGCAACGAGGTTGTTTACAGACAAAGATCTCTGAAGTAGTTGATGACATCGTCACGGAACCTCCAGGCGGTGACTTCGTTCCGATCTGGAACCCCCCCCCCCCCCCCCCCCCCCCCCCCCCCCCCCCCACCCCAGCAGTAATATCGTGATGTCACAGAGAGCCCCTCCCACCTGGTGATGTCACGGAATGCTGCGCGGTGAGCTGAGACTCGCTGGTTGTTTCAGGATTCCATCCCGTACCCCCCCCCCCCAAATGACCACAACACAGAGCAACTCAAGTCCTTGCAAAGGGGTGTGTGTGTGTGTCTAGGGCTCAGTTTCAAAGGCACCCTATTCCCTATATAGTGCACTACTTTTGACCAGGACCCCATAAGGCTTTTCTGATGAGTTCAGGGGCTTTGGGCGCTGGTCAAAAGTAGTGCACTATATAGGGAATAGGGTGCCATTTGGGACATCCTAGGTTGGCTGGAGGGATTTTGGGGAAAAGGAGACAGGCAGTAGGGGCAACAAAAGGCAAAGAGAGGTATCTGAGATACTGAGGGGTCAGGAGGCATCTGAGATACTGAGGGGTCAGGAGGCATCTGAGATACTGAGGGGTCAGGAGGCATCTGAGATACTGAGGGGTCAGGAGGCATCTGAGATACTGAGGGGTCAGGAGGCATCTGAGATACGAGGGGTCAGGAGGCATCTGAGATACTGAGGGGTCAGGAGGCATCTGAGATACTGAGGGGTCAGGAGGCATCTGAGATACTGAGGGGTCAGGAGGCATCTGAGATACTGAGGGGTCAGGAGGCATCTGAGATACTGAGGGGTCAGGAGGCATCTGAGATACTGAGGGGTCAGGAGGTATCTGAGATACTGAGGGGTCAGGAGGCATCTGAGATACTGAGGGGTCAGGAGGCATCTGAGATATTGAGGGGTCAGGAGGCATCTGAGATACCGAGGGGTCAGGAGGCATCTGAGATACTGAGGGGTCAGGAGGCATCTGAGATACCGAGGGGTCAGGAGGCATCTGAGATACTGAGGGGTCAGGAGGCATCTGAGATACTGAGGGGTCAGGAGGCATCTGAGATACTGAGGGGTCAGGAGGCATCTGAGATACTGAGGGGTCAGGAGGCATCTCTGATCCTGAGGGGTCAGGAGGCATCTGAGATACTGAGGGGTCAGGAGGCATCTGAGATACTGAGGGGTCAGGAGGCATCTCTGATACCGAGGGGTCAGGAGGCATCTGAGATACCGAGGGGTCAGGAGGCATCTCTGATACTGAGGGGTCAGGAGGCATCTGAGATCCAGGACCAATGTTCCCTCTAAGCTACAGGCGTGTGCACAGTAGCCCCGAGACAGAAGAAATATCAGCCCACAGAGAGAGAAGCATGAGATTGAACTACACTCTCTAGTTCTCCATGTTAACACTACCAACGCTTCCCTTTACTGGGGCAACTGGGACCGAATCAACACAATATTAGCCACTTTCAACGCAACCATGCCGAAACAAAAACCAACTATGCAAGAGATTTTGTTGTAGGCAGAACGCATCGGAGTAGGATTCTATTGAGCAAGACTCAACCAATCAGAGCTGCAGTAGGCCAATATGCAAATAGACCATTGCCATATATGGATCTGTGCCATTTACCTTGAACTGGACTGTGTATGGGAATAATCATGTATTTTATTTTGTAAAGTGGTTTCTTAAATCAAACACAGCAACATTTTCAGTCACCTCCTTGTCTGAAGGACCAGTGGATAAACAGGTTCATGTCAAGCCCTGCATGTTTAAAAAAAAAAAAGTCTCATGGAATGTAGGTCTACATTGAACACCACACGTTGGCTGCTACTGTAGGCTGAATGATAGAACAGCTATTTTCCATGTTAAAATGTTACGGGATGCATTTTCTCCATTGTTTTTGATGGTAGGCCACTCTGGTAGGCCTACATTATGATCAAATAGCCACAGCAGCCTACTGGGCCACTGTTAAAACTGTAACTTAAAGCGGGTTCAGCCACAGAGTTCACAGGAAACGCACGCTGGAAGTTGCACAGAATTTTCACAACGTTCAAGTTTGCGCTCAGCAGGCCTGAAATTTGCACAGTGCCCCAAAACATTAGAGGGAACATTGGTCAGGAGCTATCTGAGATATTGAGGGGTCAGGATGTATCAGATATTGAGGGGTGGAGGGGTCAGGATGTATCAGATATTGAGGGGTGGAGGGGTCAGGATGTATCAGATATTGAGGGGTGGAGGGGTCAGGATGTATCAGATATTGAGGTGTCAGGATGTATCAGATATTGAGGGGTGCAGGGGTCAGGATGTATCAGATATTGAGGGGTCAGGATGTATCAGATATTGAGGGGTGGAGGGGTCAGGATGTATCAGATATTGAGGGGTGGAGGGGTCAGGATGTATCAGATATTGAGGGGTGGAGGTGAGGACACTCCATCATCATCATCTTCATCTTCATCATCAGGTTCCCTCTTCCTCTTCTCTCCTCTCTCTGGAGAGTCATCCTCATCTAGAGAAGAAAGGGAGAAAGAAAGTAGAGAACATTTAGATATGGGTCTAGGTATATGGCTATAGGTATATGGGTCTAGATATATGGGTCTAGGTATATACAGTGGGGAAAAAAGTATTTAGTCAGCCACCAATTGTGCAAGTTCTCCCCTTAAAAAGATGAGAGAGGCCTGTAATTTTCATCATAGGTACACGTCAACTATGACAGACAAAATGAGAAAAAAATATCCAGAAAATCACATTGTAGGATTTTTTATGAATTTATTTGCAAATTATGGTGGAAAATAAGTATTTGGTCAATAACAAAAGTTTCTCAATACTTTGTTATATACCCTTTGTTGGCAATGACACAGGTCAAACGTTTTCTGTAAGTCTTCACAAGGTTTTCACACACTGTTGCTGGTATTTTGGCCCATTCCTCCATGCAGATCTCCTCTAGAGCAGTGATGTATTGGGGCTGTCGCTGGGCAACACAGACTTTCAACTCCCTCCAAAGATTTTCTATGGGGTTGAGATCTGGAGACTGGCTAGGCCACTCCAGGACCTTGAAATGCTTCTTACGAAGCCACTCCTTCGTTGCCCGGGCGGTGTGTTTGGGATCATTGTCATGCTGAAAGACCCAGCCACGTTTCATCTTCAATGCCCTTGCTGATGGAAGGAGGTTTTCACTCAGAATCTCACGATACATGGCCCCATTCATTCTTTCCCTTACACGGATCAGTCGTCCTGGTCCCTTTGCAGAAAAACAGCCCCAAAGCATGATGTTTCCACCCCCATGCTTCACAGTAGGTATGGTGTTCTTTGGATGCAACTCAGCATTCTTTGTCCTCCAAACACGACGAGTTGAGTTTTTACCAAAAAGTTATATTTTGGTTTCATCTGACCATATGACATTCTCCCAATCCTCTTCTGGATCATCCAAATGCACTCTAGCAAACTTCAGACGGGCCTGGACATGTACTGGCTTAAGCAGGGGGACACGTCTGGCACTGCAGGATTTGAGTCCCTGGCGGCGTAGTGTGTTACTGATGGTAGGCTTTGTTACTTTGGTCCCAGCTCTCTGCAGGTCATTCACTAGGTCCCCCCGTGTGGTTCTGGGATTTTTGCTCACCGTTCTTGTGATCATTTTGACCCCACGGGGTGAGATCTTGCGTGGAGCCCCAGATCGAGGGAGATTATCAGTGGTCTTGTATGTCTTCCATTTCCTAATAATTGCTCCCACAGTTGATTTCTTCAAACCAAGCTGCTTACCTATTGCAGATTCAGTCTTCCCAGCCTGGTGCAGGTCTACAATTTTGTTTCTGGTGTCCTTTGACAGCTCTTTGGTCTTGGCCATAGTGGAGTTTGGAGTGTGACTGTTTGAGGTTGTGGACAGGTGTCTTTTATACTGATAACAAGTTCAAACAGGTGCCATTAATACAGGTAACGAGTGGAGGACAGAGGAGCCTCTTAAAGAAGAAGTTACAGGTCTGTGAGAGCCAGAAATCTTGCTTGTTTGTAGGTGACCAAATACTTATTTTCCACCATAATTTGCAAATAAATTCATAAAAAATCCTACAATGTGATTTTCTGGAATTTTTTTTCTCAATTTCTGTCATAGTTGACGTGTACCTATGATGAAAATTACAGGCCTCTCTCATCTTTTTAAGTGGGAGAACTTGCACAGTTGGTGGCTGACTAAATACTTTTTTCCCCCCCACTGTATATAGTTATGGGTCTAGGTATATGGGTCTAGGTATATGGGTCTAGGGATATGGGTCTAGGGATATGGGTCTAGGGATATGGGTCTAGATATATATATATATATAGTTATGGCTATAGATCTGGGTCTAGGTATATGGGTCTAGGTATATGGGTCTAGGTATATGGGTCTAGAGATATGGGTCTAGAGATATGGGTCTAGGGATATGGGTCTAGGGATATGGGTCTAGATATATGGGTCTAGATATATATATATAGGTATGGCTATAGATCTGGGTCTAGGTATATGGGTCTAGATATATATAGGTATGGCTATAGATCTGGGTCTAGGTATATGGGTCTAAATATATGGGTCTAGGTATATGGGTCTAGATATATATATAGGTATGGCTATAGATCTGGGTCTAGGTATATGGTCTAGATATATATATATATATAGGTATGGCTATAGATCTGGGTCTAGATAGATATGGGTCTAGATAGATATGGGTCTAGGGATATGGGTATCAAAAAGAAGAATGTATGTCTGTGTCCCAAATGGCCCCCTATTCCCTATATAGTGCACTACTTTAGACCAGAGAATGGCACCCTATTCCCTATATAGTGCACTACTTTAGACCAGAGAATGGCACCCTATGCCCTATATAGTGCACTACTTTAGACCAGAGAATGGCACCCTATTCCCTATATAGTGCACTACTTTAGACCAGAGAATGGCACCCTATTCCCTATATAGTGCACTACTTTAGACCAGAGAATGGCACCCTATTCCCTATATAGTGCACTACCTTAGACCAGAGAATGGCACCCTATTCCCTATATAGGGCACTACTTTAGACCAGAGAATGGCACCCTATTCCCTATATAGTGCACTACTTTAGACCAGAGAATGGCACCCTATTCCCTATATAGTGCACTACTTTAGACCAGAGAATGGCACCCTATTCCCTATATAGTGCACTACTTTAGACCAGAGAATGGCACCCTATTCCCTATATAGTGCACTACTTTAGACCAGAGAATGGCACCCTATTCCCTATGTAGTGCACTACTTTGACCAGAGAATGGCACCCTATTCCCTATGTAGTGCACTACTTTAGAACAGAGAATGGCACCCTATTCCCTATATAGTGCACTACTTTAGACCAGAGAATGGCCCCTTATTCCATATGTAGTGCACTACTTTGACCAGAGAATGGCCCCTTATTCCATATGTAGTGCACTACTTTGACCAGGACCCAAAGGACACTGTATAGGGACTACACTAGACTAGACCTACACTAGACTAGACCTACACTAGACTAGACCTACACTAGACCAGACCTACACTAGACCAGACCTACACTAGACTAGACCAACACTAGACTAGACCTACACTAGACCCATACTACACTAGACCCACACTAGACTAGACCTACACTAGACTAGACCTACACTAGACTAGACCTACACTAGACTAGACCTACACTAGACCCACACTAGACTAGACCTACACTAGACTAGACCTACACTAGACCCACACTAGACTAGACCTACACTAGACTAGACCTACACTAGACAGTATGACCTCATAGACCCACTAGACTAGACACTAACGACTAGACCTACACTAGACCAGACCCACTAACCACCTAGACTAGACCAGACACTACACTAGACCTACACTAGACCAGACCCACACTAGACTAGACCAGACCTACACTAGACTAGACCTACACTAGACCAGACCCACACTAGACCCACACTAGACTAGACCACACTACACACTAGACTAGACCTACACTAAACCAGACCTACACTAGACCAGACCTACACTAGACCAACACTAGACTAGACCTACACTAGACCAGACCTACACTAGACCAACCCTACACTAGACCAGACCTACACTAGACCAGACCTACACTAAACCAGACCTACACTAAACCAGACCTACACTAGACCAACACTAAACCAGACCTACACTAGACCAACACTAGATTAGACCTACACTAGACTAGACCTACACTAGACCTACACAAGACCAGACCAACACTAGACCAACACTAGACTAGACCTACACTAGACTAGACCTACACTAGACCTACACAAGACCAGACCTACACTAGACTAGACCAACACTAGACTAGACCTACACTAGACTAGACCTACACTAGACTAGACCTACACTAGACTAGACCAACACTAGACCTACACAAGACCAGACCATCACTAGACCTACACTAGAGTAGACCTACACTAGACCAACACTAGACCAGACCTACACTAGACTAGACCAACACTAGACTAGACCAACACTAGACTAGACCAACACTAGACTAGACCTACACTAGACCAACACTAGACTAGACCAACACTAGACCTACACTAGACTAGACCTACACTAGACCTACACTACACTAGACCAACACTAGACTAGACCAACACTAGACTAGACCTACACTAGACTAGACCCACACTAGACTAGACCTACACTAGACTAGACCTACACTAGACTAGACCTACACTACACTAGACCAACACTAGACTAGACCTACACTAGACTAGACCAACACTAGACTAGACCAACACTACACTAGACCAACACTAGACTAAACCAACACTAGACTAGACCAACACTAGGCTAAACCTACACTAGACTAGACCTACACTAGACCAACACTAGACTAGACCAACACTAGACTAGACCTACACTAGACCAACACTAGACTAGACCTACACTACACTAGACCAACACTAGACTAGACCAACACTAGACTAGACCTACACTAGACCTACACTAGACTAGACCTACACTAGACCAACACTACACTAGACCAACACTAGACCTACACTACACTAGACCAACACTAGACTAGACCTACACTACACTAGACCAACACTAGACTAGACCAACACTAGACTAGACCTACACTACACTAGACCTACACTACACTAGACCAACACTAGACTAGACCAACACTAGACTAGACCAACACTAGACCAACACTAGACTAAACCAACACTAGACTAGACCAACACTAGACCAACACTAGACTAGACCAACACTAGACCTACACTAGACTAAACCAACACTAGACTAGACCTACACTAGACCAAGACTAGACCCACACCAACACTAGACCTGTGAGATTGGATAACACTGCTAACCATCATCATCGTCGTCATCATCATCGTCATCGATATCTCCGTTCACCTCCACATCCTAGAGAGAGAAACAGTCAGGGTTAGCTAACGTCAGCAGTGTAGTTTCAGGGCTAGCTAACGTCAGCAGTGTAGTTTCAGGGTTAGCTAACGTCAGCAGTGTAGTTTCAGGGTTAGCTAACGTCAGCAGTGTAGTTTCAGGGTTAGCTAACGTCAGCAGTGTAGTTTCAGGGTTAGCTAACGTTAGCGGGCTAACTTGTTGATCATGCTTTGCGAAACGAACAACATGTGGAGTTCATATCAGAAACTCTAGGTGGCACCAGAGCCTGTAATTAGAGAGTTGGGCCTACTTATAGAACGTCCTTCAGTTACATACATTTTACATTTTTGTCATTTAGCAGACGCTCTTATCCAGAGCGACTTACAGGAGCAATTAGGGTTAAGTGCCTTGCTTAAGGGCACATCGACAGATTTTTCACCTAGTCGGCTCGGGGATTACTGGCACAACGCTCTTACCCACTAAGCTACCTGCCGCCCACATACATACATTTTCATACTTGTCCCCAGTGGGAATCGAACCCACAACCCTGGCGTTGCAAGCGCCATGCTCTACCAACTGAGCTACACGGGACCACATCGACTCGATCCATCGTTTTTGGAATTTAATGGCTGTCTAGCTTTAATTTCTGTGATTATTAGCAAGCTGGACACAGTCAAGAAACTTTATGAATGTAGATCCAATATAATTTCTACACAGTCACTTTAAAGTATACAGAGTTCCCCCCCTTCTTACCTCTCCACTCTCTGCACTGTCGTCATCTTCCTCTGCAATTACCTCTTCGTCATCCTCCTCCTCTTCATCAAAGTCCTCCTCAGACTCCCCCTCCTCCCCCTCTGTTCCACAGGACAGACCAGAGACAACATTAGACTCTCCCTCCTCCCCCTCTGTTCCACAGGACAGACCAGAGACAACATTACTCTCCCTCGTCCCCCTCTGTTCTACAGGACAGACCAGAGACAACATTAGACTCTCCCCCCTCTGTTCTACAGGACAGACCAGAGACAACATTAGACTCTCCCCCCTCTGTTCTACAGGACAGACCAGAGACAACATTAGACTCTCCCTCCCCCCCCTCTGTTCTACAGGACAGACCAGAGACAACATTAGACTCTCCCCTCGTCCCCCTCTGTTCTACAGGACAGACCAGAGACAACATTAGACTCTCCCTCCTCCCCCTCTGTTCCACAGGACAGACCAGAGACAACATTAGACTCTCCCTCCCACCCTCTGTTCTACAGGACAGACCAGAGACAACATTAGACTCTCCCTCCCCTCCTCTGTTCCACAGGACAGACCAGAGACAACATTAGACTCTCCCTCCCACCCTCTGTTCCACAGGACAGACCAGAGACAACATTAGACTCTCCCTCCCACCCCTCTGTTCTACAGGACAGACCAGAGACCAACATTAGACTCTCCCTCCTCCCCCTCTGTACCAACAGGACAGACCAGAGACAAACATTAGACTCTCCCTCCTCCACCCTCTGTACCACAGGACAGACCAGAGACAACATTAGACCTCTCCCTCCCCCCCTCCCCCTCTGTTCCACAGGACAGACCATAGACAACATTAGGACTCTCCCCCCCCCCCCCCCCCCTCTGTTCCACAGGACAGACCAGAGACAACATTAGACTCTCCCTCACCACCCCTCTGTTCTACAGGACAGACCAGAGACAACATTAGACTCTCCCCCCTCTGTTCCAACAGGACAGACCAAGAGACAACATTAGACTCTCCCTCCCACCCTCTGTTCTACAGGACAGACCAGAGGACAACATTAGACTCTCCCCCCCCCCTCCCACTTCTGTTCCACAGGACAGACAGAGACAACATTAGACTCTCCCTCCCCCCCCTCTGTTCTACAGGACAGACCAGAGACAACATTAGACTCTCCCTCCCCCCCTCTGTTCTACAGGACAGACCAGAGACAACATTAGACTCTCCCTCCCACCCTCTGTTCCACAGGACAGACCAGAGACAACATTAGACTCTCCCTCCTCCCCCTCTGTTCCACAGGACAGACCAGAGACAACATTAGACTCTCCCTCCCACCCTCTGTTCTACAGGACAGACCAGAGACAACAGACTCTCCCTCCCCCCCCCCTCTGTTCCACAGGACAGACCAGAGGACAACATTAGACTCTCCCTCACCCCCCTCTGTTCTACAGGACAAGACCAGAGACAAAATTGACTTCCCTCCCACCCTCTGTTCCACAGGACAGACCAGAGGAAAATTAGACTCTCCCTCCCCCTTCCCGTTCACAGGACAAACCAGAGACAACATAGACTCCCCCTCCTCCCACCCTCTGTTCCCCAGGACAGACCAGAGACAAATTAGACTCTCCTCCCCCCCTGTTCTACAGGACAGACCAGAGACAAACATTAGACTCCCCTCCCCCCTCTGTTCCACAGGACAGACCAGAGACAACATTAGAAATCTCCCTCGTCCCCCTCTGTTCTACAGGACAGACCAGAGACAACATTAGACTACCCTCCACCCTCTGTTCCACAGGACAGACCAGAGACAAACATTAGACTCTCCCCCCCCCCTCTGTTCTACAGGACAGACCAGAGACAAAAATTAGACTCTCCCTCCCACCCCCTGTTCCACAGGACAGACCAGAGACAACATTAGCTCTCCCCTCCCCCCCTCTGTTCTACAGGAAGACCAGAGACAAACATTAGACTCTCCCTCCCACCCCCTCTGTTCCACAGGACAGACCAGAGACAAACATTAGACTCTCCCTCCTCCTCTGTTCTACAGGACAGACCAGAGACAACATTAGACTCTACCACTCCTCCCCCTCTGTTCCACAGACAGACCAGAGACAAACATTAGACTCTCCCTCCCACCCTCTGTTCCACAGGACAGACCCAGAGACAACATTAGACTCTCCCCTCACACCCTCTGTTCCACAGGACAGACCAGAGACAACATTAGACTCTCCCTCCCCCCCTCTGTTCCACCGGACAGACCAGAGACAACATTAGGACTCTCCCTCCCACCCTCTGTTCCACAGGACAGGACCAGAGACAACATTAGACTCTCCCTCCCACCCTCTGTTCCACAGGACAGACCAGAGACAACAGTAGACTCTCCCTCCCACCCTCTGTTCTACAGGACAGACCAGAGACAACATTAGACTCTCCCTCCCACCCTCTGTTCCACAGGACAGACCAGAGACAACATTAGACTCTCCCTCGTCCCCCTCTGTTCCACAGGACAGACCAGAGACAACATTAGACTCTCCCCTCCCCACCCTCTGTTTCCACAGGACAGACCAGAGACACATTAGACTCTCCCTCTCCCCCTCTGTTCCACAGGACAGACCAGAGACAACATTAGACTCTCCCTCCTCCCCCTCTGTTCCACAGGACAGACCAGAGACAACATTAGACTCTCCCTCCCACCCTCTGTTCTACAGGACAGACCAGAGACAACATTAGACTCTCCCTCGCCCCCTCTGTTCTACAGGACAGACCAGAGACAACATTAGACTCTCTCCCTCCCACCCTCTGTTTCCACAGGACAGACCAGAGACACATTAGACTCTCCCTCCCACCCTCTGTTCTACAGGACAGACCAGAGACAACATTAGACTCTCCCTCGTCCCCCTCTGTTCTACAGGACAGACCAGAGACAACATTAGACTCCCCCTCCTCCCACCCTCTGTTCCACAGGACAGACCAGAGACAACATTAGACTCTCCCTCGTCCCCTCTGTTCACAGGAAGACCAGAGACAAAATTAGGACTCTCCCTCCCCCCCTCTGTTCAACAGGGACAGAAGAGACAACATTAGACTCTCCTCCTCCCCCTCTGTTCACAGGACAGACCAGAGACAACATTAGACCTCCCTCCCACCCTCTGTTCTACAGGACAGACCAGAGACAACATAGACTCTCCTGTCCCCCTCCGTTCTACAGGACAGAAACCCGAGAAACATTAGACTCTCCCTCCCCCCCTCTGTTCACAGGACAGACCAGAGACCCAAAATTAGACTCCCCTCCCACCCTCTGTTCTACAGGACAGACCAGGGCGACAAAATTAGACTCTCCCTCGTCCCTCTGTTCTACAGGACAGACCAGAGACAACATTAGACTCCCCTCCTCCCACCCTTGTTCCACAGGAAAGACCAGAGACAACATTTGACTCTCCCTCGTCCCCCTCTGTTCCACAGGACAGACCAAAAGACAACATTAGACCTCCCCCCCCCCCTCCCCCCTCTGTTCCACAGGACAGACCAGAGACAACATTAGAATCTCCCCCCACCCTCTGTTCTACAGGACAGACCAGAGACAACATTAGACTTTTCCCCCCCTCTGTTCCACAGGACAGACCAGAGACAACATTAGACTCTCCCCCCACCCTCTGTTCCACAGGACGACCAGAGACAACATTAGACTCTCCCTCCCACCCTCTGTTTTTACAGGACAGACCAGAGACAACATTTGACTCTCCCTCCCAAATCTGTTCTACAGGACAGACCAGAGACAACATTAGACTCTCCCTCCCCCCCTCTGTTCTACAGGACAGGCCAGAGACAACATTAGACTCTCCCTCCCACCTCTGTTCCACAGGACAGCCAGAGACAAAAATTAGACTCTCCCTCGTCCCCCTCTGTTCCACAGGACAGACCAGAGACAACATAGAATCTCCCTCCCACCCTCTGTTCTAAGGACAGACCAGAGACAACATTAGACTCTCCCTCCCACCCTCTGTTCTACAGGACAGACCAGAGACAACATTAGACTCTCCCTCCCACCCCCCGTTCTACAGGACAGACCAGAGACAACATTAGACTCTCCCTCCCCCCCTCTGTTCCACAGGACAGACCAGAGACAACATTAGACTCTCCCTCCCACCCTCTGTTCCACAGGACAGACCAGAGACAACATTAGACTCTCCCTCCTCACCCTCTGTTCCACAGGACAGACCAGAGACAACATTAGACTCTCCCTCTCACCCTGTCCCAGGGGGGACTCTCCCTCACCCCCCCTTGTTCCACAGGACAGACCAGAGACAACATTAGACTCTCCCCTCCTCCCCCTTGTTCTACAGGACAGACCAGAGACAACATTAGACTCTCCCTCCCACCCTCTGTTCTACAGGACAGACCAGAGACAACATTAGACTCTCCCTCCCACCCTCTGTTCTACAGGACAGACCAGAGACAACATTAGACTCTCCCTGCCACCCTCTGTTCCACAGGACAGACCAGAGACAACATTAGACTCTCCCTCCTCCCCCTCTGTTCCACAGGACAGACCAGAGACAACATTAGACTCTCCCTCCCACCCTCTGTCCACAGGACAGACCAGAGACAACATTAGACTCTCCCTCCCACCCTCTGTTCCACAGGACAGACCAGAGACAACATTAGACTCTCCCTCCCACCCTCTGTTCTACAGGACAGACCAGAGACAACATTAGACTCTCCCTCGTCCCCCTCTGTTCTACAGGACAGACCAGAGACAACATTAGACTCTCCCTCCCACCCTCTGTTCCACAGGACAGACCAGAGACAACATTAGACTCTCCCTCCCACCCTCTGTTCCACAGGACAGACCAGAGACAACATTAGACTCTCCCTCCCACCCTCTGTTCTACAGGACAGACCAGAGAGACATCATCAGCTCAGTCAAGTGCCATTTCAATTCGTTGGCTGCGTCTGAACCGGCACCCTATTCCCTATATAGTGCACTACTTTAGACCAGAGAATGGCACCCTATTCCCTATATAGTGCACTACTTTAGACCAGAGAATGGCACCCTATTCCCTATATAGTGCACTACTTTAGACCAGAGAATGGCACCCTATTCCCTATATAGTGCACTACTTTAGACCAGAGAATGGCACCATATTCCCTATATAGTGCACTACTTTAGACCAGTGAATGGCACCCTATTCCCTATGTAGTGCACTACTTTAGACCAGAGAATGGCACCCTATTCCCTATATAGCGCACTACTTTAGACCAGAGAATGGCACCCTATTCCCTATATAGTGCACTACTTTAGACCAGAGAATGGCACCCTATTCCCTATATAGTGCACTACTTTAGACCAGAGAATGGCACCCTATTCCCTATATAGTGCACTACTTTAGACCAGAGAATGGCACCCTATTCCCTACATAGTGTACTACTTTAGACCAGAGAATGGCACCCTATTCCCTACATAGTGTACTACTTTAGACCAGAGAATGGCACCCTATTCCCTACATAGTGTACTACTTTAGACCAGAGAATGGCACCCTATTCCCTATATAGTGTACTACTTTAGACCAGAGAATGGCACCCTATTCCCTACATAGTGTACTACTTTTGACCAGGGCCCACAGGGCATTCATCATCATCATAAAGAGTAATGAAGACCAGGTCCAGTCATCTGCCTAGCCAGATTCAAGTGACCGTGTCACAGAAAATGGCTATTATACGGTGTCCCTTGATGTTCTGCTCGTTAGTCAACCTTCCAGTTGGTATTTCTATCAGATTTCAGTTCTACTTCAGCAGGTCTTACCTTCATCATCGTCGTCCCCGTCTCCCTCTCCGTCCGAGTCGGAGGCCTCGCAGTCTTCGATATCGTAGCCATCCAGGTACGTGAGCTGTGGGAGGAGCTTGAAGATGCTCTCTCTGTAGTCTCCCAGATTGGTGACCTCACAGTTAAACAGGTCCAGGGACTTCAATATGGGAAGCTTTTTCTAACAGTGGGGGTGGGAGGTTATAAGTTATTCCAAACTACAACAAACATATTTCACAGTTAGAGTAGACTTATGAAGAAGCTATAACAGTCTTATAACCAGTTATAAAGAGGTTATAACCAGTCGTATTCCCAGCTACAACAGTCTCATACACAGCTACAACAGTCTTATCCACAGCTACAACAGTCTTATCCACAGCTACAACAGTCTTATCCACAGCTACAACAGTCTCATCCACAGCTACAACAGTCTTCTACACAGCTACAACAGTCTTATTCAGTAACAGTTTTAACACCCACCAGTGGTTCCAGTGTGCTGATGTCCTTGAACTTGTTCCCTGAGAGGTTGAGGTGTGTGAGGTTGACCAGCCGCTCAGCCAGCACCTCCAGACCACCGGATATCCTGTTGTCGCTCAGCTCCAGCTACGGCAGAGGAGGAAACACATTACTCAGCCGAAAAAAAGAAAGGAAATTCACGAGCACCACGAGGGCCCAACTTCAACCATAGCTATACCAAAATCCCCACAGGATAGCAGCTTCATGCTGGTCTACTGGTGATGCAACATTATTTGAAAACAGTAGTGTGGCAGTGAGACCCAGCATGCTGGCTTGCTACCTTTTCCCTGTTTTGGGTATGTTTTGAGATGGGAGATGAGGCCGTGTGGGATCAAAAGTAGTGCGCTTGTGAAAGAACTTGGGGTGACATTTGGGACACATCCATAGTAGTTCTACCTTTTTTAATTTCCCCAGTTTGGGTATGTTTGAGACGTCTACGAGGCCGACGTTGATGAGACTCAACAGTTCCAGGTTGTCAAAGTCCTCCGTTATGCCCTCCATCTTCCCCTCGTCCGACCGGCAGTTATCCAGGACCAGCTCCTGAACCTGGGAGAGAAACAGGGTTAGGGAAGACAGAAAGAGGGGGATAAAGAGAAAAGTTTGCTGTTTCAGTATTTGTTATGTGGAATATTTTACCCGTATTTATATGAACAAGTGAACGTGTTTCGAAGTACTTTTTTTTTTGGCCTGTTAATAGTAGCCATGCTTAGAAACCGAACTGTTTGTCAACTCTGGACACGTGATGTAGCGTTATTTGGCCAGCTAAAGTAGATATACGTTGCTAGCCAGCTAAGCTAACTAAATAACGGTATTTAACCGGTTAAAGTATACCCAAACGGTTCATGCCGGTGTACAATTTACTATTGTTTCAGTAGACCAAATATGCTATATTTGTAGCTATAACCGGTGAGAAAATGGTCTGATGATTCGCTGTCTTGGTAGCTAGCTAGTTAGCCAACATGCTAACTATGCGCCCTTTAATGGCTACCACTATTCTAGCTTTCCAAGTCAAGTTCAGTGTGCTAACTAGCTTAACTACGGCTTTTTCTTTCATAGTGAGCCAGGTTGTTACAACATATACAGCTGTATAAAAAAAATAAACTGCAGCACATGGCTAGCAATATAGAAATACAACTATTTTTATTTGGGTGAAATATTTTAGTTAGTTAGCCATTTTCCTGTTTACCTCACGAACCCGGTTTGACTGGTTGTACAGTAACGTTAGTGATTCATTCACTTTTAACTTAAAGTTGGTGATCCAAAACCAACGAATCAAATACCGCTAGTTTACAAAATACATATGTATCTCATAAGAATTTTGAGTTTTGGAGAAAACGTTGTAAAGAAAGTCGATTTTCTAGCAGTAAGTAGGCTTGTGCTTACGAGAAGACCCCATGTGCTCGCCATGACTCCCACACACCGTAAACTATGGCGTTACCACCGATAAAGATGCAGTTAGTTAGATCTAGCTAAATCATATAACTACTTACATCCGACGGCGTCCTATTTCTCAGTTCTAGGTGAATTCTCTTTTTCATGTCCATGTTTTCCCCCCCTCTCTTCTCCTCTCCCGGATCTGGTTGGAAAGTTTAGGTTTCTACCGCCTGCTATAGTTAGCTATCCGAAGAGCGAAAGGTGCCTTTCGTGCAAATCTTGAAAGTGAGTCAAATGCGAATAATCTGTTTAGCGCCGAGTCTTAAACCCGCGGCGAAACGCAACGCTCCACAGCGCCCCGTGTGGTTAGGTTTCCACACTGCAGTCAGACACAGCGCCCCGTGTGGTTAGGTTTCCACACTGCAGTCAAACACAGCGCCCCGTGTGGTTAGGTTTCCACACTGCAGTCAAACAGGCAACATGCATGGCCTGTTGACGAACTACGACTAATGCAGCTTGGAGCTGAAAATAACAACTTACAATACTTGTGATGCATTTACAAAATACGACGGATAGACACGTAACTGTTTGTTTCTTGGCTATATGTGAGATAATTTGACCGTTATTATTATCATCACTGTACAAATTAATCGAACATAATTCTCTCATTTCAAGTTATTTGTTGCCGGCAATGTTGATGGACTATCAGTTGTTACCACACCGAGGCAATGTTGCTGTTTCATTTGCATGACTATGGACTCTTCTCAGGCCTTAAGTTCCAAAGTACAATAAATAGCCTATAATAATAATATAATAGCCTACTATGGAGCTTTCTGGAGTTGGAGCCATAGAATTACGAATTGGAACTATCTCCAGTTCTAAGGTTTGAAACAGTGGTATGACACCACTTGGCTTTTAATGTTTCACTGACTTCCATTATTCTGATACTGACATACAGTACATATGCTGTACACACAGTACATATGGTATACACACAGTACATATGGTATACATTCAGTACATTCTATGAAAGGCAGCAACATAATAAGTAATAAGTAGTGATCTGCTTGTAGATTATCAACACTAACCACATCCTACAACACAGCTAGCATCCCACATCCTACAACATAGCCTGGGTCCCACATCCTACAACACATCTATGCTCCCACATCCTACAACATAGCCTGGGTCCCACATCCTACAACATAGCCTGGGTCCCACATCCTACAACACAGCTATGCTCCCACATCCTACAACACAGCTATGCTCCCACATCCTACAACACAGCTCCCACATCCTACAACACAGCTAGCATCCCACATCCTACAACACAGCTAGCATCCCACATCCTACAACACAGCTATGCTCCCACATCCTACAACACAGCTATGCTCCCACATCCTACAACACAGCTAGCATCCCACATCCTACAACACAGCTCCCACATCCTACAATATAGCCTGGCTCCCACATCCTACAACCCAGCTAGGCTCCCACATCCTACAACACAGCTATGCTCCCACATCCTACAACACAGCTATGCTCCCACATCCTACAATATAGCCTGGCTCCCACATCCTACAACACAGCTATGCTCCCACATCCTACAACATAGCCTGGGTCCCACATCCTACAATATAGCCTGGCTCCCACATCCTACAACACAGCTCCCACATCCTACAATATAGCCTGGCTCCCACATCCTACAACACAGCTCCCACATCCTACAACACAGCTATGCTCCCACATCCTACAACACAGCTATGCTCCCACATCCTACAACATAGCTATGCTCCCACATCCTACAACACAGCTCCCACATCCTACAATATAGCCTGGCTCCCACATCCTACAACACAGCTCCCACATCCTACAACACAGCTATGCTCCCACATCCTACAACACAGCTATGCTCCCACATCCTACAATATAGCCTGGCTCCCACATCCTACAACACAGCTATGCTCCCACATCCTACAACATAGCCTGGGTCCCACATCCTACAATATAGCCTGGCTCCCACATCCTACAACACAGCTCCCACATCCTACAATATAGCCTGGCTCCCACATCCTACAACACAGCTCCCACATCCTACAACACAGCTATGCTCCCACATCCTACAACACAGCTATGCTCCCACATCCTACAACATAGCTATGCTCCCACATCCTACAACACAGCTCCCACATCCTACAATATAGCCTGGCTCCCACATCCTACAACACAGCTCCCACATCCTACAACACAGCTATGCTCCCACATCCTACAATATAGCCTGGCTCCCACATCCTACAACACAGCTATGCTCCCACATCCTACAATATAGCCTGGCTCCCACATCCTACAACACAGCTAGGCTCCCACATCCTACAATATAACCTGGCTCCCACATCCTACAATATAGCCTGGCTCCCACATCCTACAATATAGCCTGGCTCCCACATCCTATAACATAGCCTGGCTCCCACATCCTACAATATAGCCTGGCTCCCACATCCTACAACACAGCTAGGCTCCCACATCCTACAATATAGCCTGGGTCCCACATCCTACAACATAGCTAGGCTTCCACATCCTACAACATAGCCTGGCTCCCACATCCTAAAACATAGCTAGGCTTCCACATCCTACAACATAGCCTGGCTCCCACATCCTACAACATAGCCTGGCTCCCACATCCTACAACACAGCTAGGCTCCCACATCCTACAACATAGCCTGGCTCCCACATCCTACAACATAGCCTGGGTCCCACATCCTACAACACAGCTAGGCTCCCACATCCTACAACATAGCCTGGCTCCCACATCCTACAACATAGCCTGGCTCCCACATCCTACAACATAGCCTGGGTCCCACATCCTACAATATAGCCTGGCTCCCACATCCTACAACATAGCTAGGCTCCCACATCCTACAACATAGCCTGGCTCCCACATCCTACAACACAGCTAGGCTCCCACATCCTACAACATAGCCTGGGTCCCACATCCTACAATATAGCCTGGCTCCCACATCCTACAACATAGCTAGGCTCCCACATCCTACAACATAGCCTGGCTCCCACATCCTACAATATAGCCTGGGTCCCACAGGAGCCAGGTTAAATTGCGTGAGCAACTTGCGGCACAGCGGGGAAAAAACAACATCTGAATTAATGGCGGATAGAAGTCCCCGCTTGGGATAACATTTCCAGAATAATAAGGAATAACTTTGCGAAATGTAACTATAATGTCTATTTATTCAACAAATTATGTTAAATGTTCAACAGAAAAACCTGATTTTGCTTTGTCATTATGAGGTATTGTGTGTAGATTGATGAGGGAACATTTTTATTTAACACGTTTTTGTGGGGGGGGGGGGGGGGCAATGCAAATAGTCCAGGTACAGTTGCCATACCAGGCGGTGATGCAACCAGTCAGGATGCTTTCGATGGTGCAGCTGTATAACTTTTTGAGGATCTGAGGACCCATGCCAAATCTTTTCAGTCTCCTGAGGGGGAATAGGCTTTGTCGTGCCCTCTTCACGACTGTCTTGGTGTGTTTGGACAATGATAGTTTGTTGATGATGTGACACCAAGGAACTTGAAGCTCTCAACCTGTTCCACTACAGCCCAGTCGATGAGAATGGGGGCGTGCTCAGTCTATAATCATCTCCTTTGTCTTGATCACGTTGAGGGAGAGGTTGTTATCCTGGCACCACACAACCAGGTCTCTGACCTCCTTCCTATAGGCTGTCTCATCGTTGTCAGTGATCAGGCCGACCACTGTTGTGTCATCGACAAACTTAATGATGGTGTTGGAGTCATGCTTGGCCATGCAGTCATGGATGAACAGGGAGTACAGGAGGGGACTGAGCACGCACCCCTGAGGGGCCCCCGTGTTGAGGATCAGCCTGGCAGATGTGTTGTTACCTACCCTTACCACCTGGGGGCGGCCCGTCAGAAAGTCCAGGATCCAGTTGCAGAGGGAGGTATTTAGTCCCAGGATCCTTAGCTTAGTGATGAGCTTTGAGGGCACTATGGTGTTGAACGCTGAGCTGTAGTCAATGAATAGCATTCTCATGTAGGTGTTCCTCTTGTCCAGGTTGGAAAGGGCAGTGTGAAGTGCAATAGAGATTGCATCATCTGTGGATCTGTTGGGGCGGTATGCAAATTGGAGTGGGTCTAGGGTTTCTGGGATAATGGTGTTGATGTGAGCCATGACCAGCCTTTCAAAGCACTTCATGGCTACAGACGCGAGTGCTACGGGTCGGTAGTCATTTAGGCAGGTTATCTTAGTGTTCTTGGGCACAGGGACTATGGGGGTCTGCTTGAAACATGTTGGTATTACAGACTCAGTCAGGGACATGTTGAAAATGTCAGTGAAAACACTTGCCAGTTGGTCAGCGCATGCTCGGAGTACACGTCCTGGTAATCCGGCACTGCGGCCTTGTGAATGTTGACCTGTTTAAAAGTCTTACTCACATCGGCTACGGAGAGCGTGATCACACAGTCATCCGGAACAGCTGGTGCTCTCATGCACGCTTCAGTGATGCTTGCCTCACATTTACATTTACATTTACGTCATTTAGCAGACGCTCTTATCCAGAGCGACTTACAAATTGGTGCATTCAACTTATTATAGCCAGTGGGACAACCACCGTTTTTTTTATTTATGGGGGGGTGGGGAGGGGGGGGTAGAAGGATTACTTTTATACTATTCCAGGTATTCCTTAAAGAGGTAGGGTTTCAAGTGTCTCCGGAAGGTGGTCAGTGACTCCGCTGTCCTGGCGTCGTGGGGAGCTTGTTCCACCATTGGGGTGCCAGAGCAGCGAATAGCTTTGACTGGGCTGAGCGGGAACTGTGCTTCCGTAGAGGTAGGGGAGCTAGCAGGCCAGAGGTGGATGAATGTAGTGCCCTCGTTTGGGTGTAGGGTCTGATCAGAGCCTGAAGTTAAGGAGGTGCCGTTCCCCTCACAGCTCCGTAGGCAAGCACCATGGTCTTGGAGTAGATGCAAGCCTCAACTGGAAGCCAGTGGAGTGTGCGGAGGAGTGGGGTGACATGAGAGAACTATTTTTTTAAAATGTAAAAATTTTTTTTGGGGGGGATGGGGGGTAGATCAGCTTAATATTGCAGATAGATTGTAACTTCCATCAATGTAATTGTCTGCATCACTTCCAATCCCCCA